CCCTGCCTGCGGCCCCACCCCTCGGGGCCACCTCCTTAGCCTGGAGGCACCATGGAACTCCCCGAGGCGGAGTCATGGGTCTGGCGAGCTCAGGCCGAGTGCTCACCCTCCCTCCCCTCCGGCTCCGCTCACAGGCCCCGAAGGCCCCGGCCTCCTGCTGCGCTGAGTGGGTCATGTCTAGGCTGCTCGGCCTCCCTCCCGGCAGGAAGGACCGATGGACACTTCTTCACGCGGGTTCTGCAGGCACCCAACCCCCTCCTGACGGAGCTGAAGACGCACGCAGCCACCACCACGTGCTCTGCCCGCCACCATCCAGCCACGCGGCTGCCCCTCCCCGAACGCGAGGAGGCAGGCCAGGCCCCGCCCCTGGGCACACTCACAGGTTCCCAGGTCACCGCCGGGCTGGCACTGTGTCTTCCGGTCACCTCAACCCCTCACCCCGTCCTGCGCCCGGGGCACCTCGTCCCTCCAGGCAGATCCAGGAAGGAGAGGGGACTCAGCTGGGTCCAAACTCCACGCGCCTCCCCACAGGAGCGGCTCCCTGGGCAGCAGGAGCCCCCGGGGAGGGGGAGGGAGAGGTGACGATGGGGCAGGCAGGGCCTAGGGGAGGCCTGAGGCCCCAGAGCCTGGTCCGAGTCACTTTATGGCCTTCTTGTGGCTCCACGTGGGGCCCCGTCACCGTTACCAAGGGCGACCGTAAACAAACAGGCTGCACCCAGCCGCACCTGCCGACGTGGCACCTGCCGCCGCTGGTATCAGCAGCCTGTCCCACAGCAGCAGGCGGCCAGGGGGACAGGTGGACAGGGGGACAGGCGGACAGGTGGCCAGGTGGGCAGGCAGACAGGCGGACAGATGGTCCAGTGGACAGGCGGACAGATGGTCCAGTAGACAGGTGGATAGGTGGATATGTGGACAGGCGGACAGGTGGACAGGGGGACAGGCGGACAGGGGGACAGGCGGACAAGGGGACAGGCGGACAGGTGGCCAGGCGGATAGATGGCCAGGTGGGCAGGCAGACAGATGGTCCAGTGGACAGGTGGACAGATGGTCCAGTAGACAGGTGGATAGGTGGATAGGTGGACAGGTGGACAGGCGGACAGGTGACAGGACAGAGGGGCCTCGCACCCGGAGCCATTGTGCCCGGGAAAGGGAGCATGTGGCTGTGTGTCTGGCTGTGTGTCCATGTGACCACGTCTGTGTGTTTGCACGGGTTTGGGTGATGAGAGTGCGTGTGGGGCGTGCGGTTGACCGTGGACGACTGCAACCTCAGAGAGTGAACCTGTGGTTACGGGGTCGACTGGACCCTGAACCACAGACCCAGCTTCCGTGGCCGCCGTTTCACAGTAAACCCTCCTGTGGGCGAGCGGGCGACGACCAACGCCTTCCCACCAGTTCCTCTGAAAGCCGCGTGCAGCTGGTGCCACGCCCGCCATCGTGTGGGTCATGTGGACGAGCGCCCGGAACCCCCGGACCCCACGGACACGTGCACTGCAGCAGAGGCTGAGCCCTCACCCTTGTGCACGTGTCCACA